GGAGATTTCTGAAGAAGGGTCTAGGCCCGAAACGTCAGCCTTCCTGCTCCTATGATGCTGCTTGGCCTGCTGTGTTCATCCAGCTCTACACCTTGTTATCTCAGATTTTCCAGCATCTGCAGTTCCTACTATCTCTAATAAATATTGCAGTGTTGATTTTAGCATTCTTCAGAAAGGGTGACTGCCTTCACTACATCAACTTATCTTAGATACTTTATATTTTAAAGACAAATACTTAATGTGATAATACTGCATCTATGGGAATCTGAATGTCTTATTAATATACCTATGGAATGGTCTAAAAACTGTGTATTTTCTCCCAGTTTCCTTCATTTGCTCAAACAACTCAACCTTTTTACACGTTCTGTTACGTTTTTGTTTCTCTTTGGCTGGAACCTTCTGCTGTTGTCAAGGTGTCACCCACTGCTGATAAAGTGACTAGTTACCTGACATAGCTTTCTAGATCGAGGCCTGCTATACCTTCCTACAGCCAGGCAGTTTGAATGGTAGTAATGGGTCTTCCTCTGAAATCAAGTCCCAAGGGATGGAGGTCCAGCCCAATCAAAGTTGCCATCCAGAGACTGACAGAGTCCTTGAGGAGGTTATGGCTCCTGCCTGGAGGAGAGGAGGCAATGGCCTAGTGGTATTATCGCTGGACTGTTAATCCAGAGAGCCAGATAATGTTCTGGGGACCCGGGTTCAAATCCCAGCTTGGCAGGTGGTGGAATTTGAATTTAATAAAATATCTGGAATTAAGAATCTAATGATGATCGTGAATCCACTGTTGATTGTTGGAAAAACCCATCTGGCTCACTAATGTCCTTCAGGGAAGGGAACTGCCATCCTCACCTGGTCTGGCCTACATGTGACTCCAGACCCACAACAATGTGGTTGACTCTGAACTGCCCTCTGGGCACTTAGGGGTGGGCAATAAATGCTGCCTAGCCAGCAACGCCCTCATCCTGTTAAAAAATAAAGGAACCAGATTATCATGAGAAGCAAGTAGTCAGGTAAGTGCCCTTTTTGGAGGGGAGGAATGGTGTTGTAGAGAAGAGGAATGAGTAGGTCAGAAATAAGGGCAGGGAAGTGCTCTCAACAATCAACCCTGACCTGTGTCCAGTCCCTTGATCATGGACAAATTAGTGCAAATAGAGGATTACATACTTGATGGATAGCTGTTCTCCCTGGTTTCAAAACTCTTTTTCATCTCAGCTGAATCAGAGATAATTGCATCTTAGAGAGGATTAGACACTTAATTTATCATTAATTGATCATTTAAGGGCCTCAGCCGGCAGCAAGGTGGAAAGATTGAGCTTGGGCTCTCCCATTCAGAGTTTAATTTGTGTAGAGATGGTAAGGTGGGAGGGTTCTGGGACCACCACAACGCTACATAATCAAGTTGCCTTCCTGGTTCCAGGTCATTATCTCTGTGATCAGAAGACCCGCCCAAGCATCTTTATTAATATCTGGCTCCCTTTAATGTGTCTGTCTGTTTCCATTTACTCATGCTGGAGAGCACGGTTCCATGGCTTATGCAGCTCTGTAAAATTTCAGTCAAGTGGCTGTTCATCACATGTCAGCCCAGGCAATGAATGCAGGTAATCTAGTAAAATATGAAGAGTTATCACTCCCATATCTGACTCGACTTAACACTCAAATATACACATTTCCTAGAAGACATAACTGAATAACAATCCAACCTGATATTTTAGGCCATAAGACTTGGGACTGGATTAGGCCATTTGGCCCATTGAGTCTGCTGCAACATTCAATCATGACTCAACCCCATTTTCCTGTCTTCTCCCCATAACCCTTGATCTCTTTACCAATCGAGAGCTTATCTATTTCTGCCTTAAATACACTCAATGACTTGGCCTCCACAGCCTTCTGCAGCACTGAGTTCCATAGACTGACCACCCTCTGGATGAAGAAATTCCCCCTCATCTCAATTCTAAAGTGTCATTCCTTCACTCTGAGGTTTTGTGTCCTAATGTCACGTACTAGTGGAAACATCTTCTCCACGTGCACTCTATCTGGGCTTCTTAGTATTCTGTAAGCTTCAGTGAAATCGCCCCCTTCATCCTTCTAAACTCCATCGAGTTCAGGCCCAGAGTCCTCAATCGCTTTTCATATGACAAGCCTTTCATCCCTGGGATCATTCTTGTAAACCTCCCTCAGGACTCCCTTCAACACCAGAACATTCTTCCTTAGAAACAGGGCCCAAACTGCTCACAATATTCAAAATGCGGTCTAACCTGACCATTGTACAGCCTAAGCAGTACACTTCTACTCATGTTCTAGGCCTCTTGAAATGAATGCCAGCATTGCATTTGCCTTCCTATCTGTCGACTGAACCAGCAAGTTAACCTTAAGAGAATCCTGAACTAGGACTGCCAAGTCCCTTTGTGCTTCAGATTTCTGAAGCCTTTTACCTTTTCAGAAAATAGTCTTTGCCTCTATTCTTCCTATCAAAGTGCGTAATCTCACACTTTCCCACGTTGTATTCTGTCTGCCACTACGTTTCCTGCTCTCCTAGCCTGTCCAAGTCTTTCTACAGCCTTCCCTGCTTCATCAATACTATCTGCCCCTCCACCTATCTTTGTGCAACTTCAAACTTAGCAACAAGGCCCTCAGGTCCTTTGTCCAGATTAATGTATAATGTATTTTACCTCCCTAGCTAATGGGAACTAAAGCAGATCATAGTATATCCACTTTAGTGAAATGAGTTAACTCAGTAAAGTCGTTCCTGGCCTAATAGGTAACATTCTTCCTATTTTCAAAATTCTATTTTCTAAAAAAATCAAATTTGGAAGTTTGTTTGAGGACAAGTGAACATAGCAAAAATGAATCACCAACTGTATAACTCCTGTAATATATGAGTGAAGATGAGTTTTCAGTTCCAGTTGTCCTACAGTTCACTTGAATAATAATTTACTTAGGCAACATGCGCCTCCTCTTTTGATAAAGTAACCTTACAGATTTGCCTCAAGATTCAATCTCTCCAAAGCTTTTCGTGGATAGACCTCAAATCCCAGCCTCTCATATAAAATCTTTATAATTCTACTTCCTTCTCTTGACTACACAGACATCCCTGACTTTCTCACTCTCAACCGCAAATGATTTTAGAAACTTCTACTGTCCCAAGTATGCAGCTTCTGCTCAGTCAAGTGTCTTTTTTCTGAAATCATTTCTAGTTTAATTTCTTTCTAAGCTAACATGGTTAATTTGTTTTCTTTACCTTCATGCATTCTTCCATTCTGTCTGCTTCAATCTTCAAGTAATAATTTTTCAAATAAGGGAATGATGATGTTTTTTCATATTATTAGCAGGGGTAGTTGAACAGAAAACCCACACAGTTGTCAAAAAAGAAATCTTATGAACTCGTCTAAGGAAAGACAATACAAGAATACTTGTTCTGGAATAATGTTAAGGAAACAGATATGTGGTTTGAAAATGTAGCTAAATTAATCAATTTCGTTTTA